AAGTAAGCACAAGATGCCGAAAACCCTTAGCACGACGCAGCGCACCCTTCATGCGACTCGCCGAATATCTCACGGCGCTTCGCGCTTGGTGATGTGAGAGCCTGGTCCGGTGAGAACCCGGCGTGCTCCGTCCCGGCTTTCGCCCTCGAAGGGTCGACCAACACTTGGCGAAAAGCCTCACGCACGTCAATCCGGCAGAGCAAAATCTCGAGAGTCGCCCCGTGCAATTGGCGCGACGCGCGACAAGATATCGAAAAGTACATGTCCCAACAGACACTCGGGGGCACGATCAAAATCTGTATCTGCATTGACGCTAGACTGCGCACCAGCCGCTGTGAATGTGAGATCATGAATGATGCGGAATTTCGGATCGTCCACCACCCCAAGGGGGGAAACACGCACACCCAAAATTTCACGGATGAACTGCACGTCGAAGACGAGAGCACGACCTAACGTAACATCCGAAACGATCTTGTCAATGATCTACGGAGTGTATGGTAAAATGCTGGATTGGTTGCCGTATTGTAATTCGGCGTCTAGACACCCTCCCGGCGCGACATCGACCGGGGCGCCAGGACACAACACGCCGAGGAGGTTATCAATTTGCGGAAAACGTTTCGAGACCCCAAAAAAATTCACGAACCGACGCAACACTGACATGGGGCGCAATGAAGCCGGCACCACCGGCCTCCACGAGCACTTCAATACGCCCCCCACACTGTCTAAGCAAGGCGGAACCAGCGGAAGCCACCTCACTAAGACCCACACCCATATCGGAGGGTGAACACACCGCTGCCAAAGCAGACACACGAGATCGCCATACGCAAAGTTCACGCGAACCCGCAATCGACCTAAACGAGACATCACCTGGTAGCAACGAAGAGACAGCCCCGGGCACACACGCCCCTCGATCGACGCCCACGCCCGCCGCCGCCAACGCGGCGGCCCCAAGCGCTCGGGAACCCGGCCTCGCTGTCTGATCTACGCTCCCACACGACTGTGAAGTTGGCCCCGCCGAAAGGCAGAGCCCGTGTCCTCAGTTGCTGCCATCTCCCCGGCGAACGACCAACGCCGAGGAGCCGCTTCCGCCATCGGTCGCGGCGCCCGAGGCTCCCCCTCCACCCGAAGCGCGACCCCCACCGCCGCCGCCACCCTTGCCGCCCCCAGTCGCATGGCGGAACACGCAGGAGTCGCCCCACCTGCATGTTTGGGAGTCGCGATATTCGAAACACACTTTCGACCGGCGTTTGGAGTCCCCACCCGCGGAGCGGGAGTCCCCCCGCCGTCTCTTACCCCCACTCGATCCAGAAGAACCTCCACCACCCACAGTCCCGAACATCCGTAGCGCAATGCTCCCGGACATGGAGAAGCCATTGATGCCGTCGAACCGAGGAACCGGCGGGGGGTTAAAGCGCTCGAAAGACTCCGGCGGCACCGGCAAATTCTGAATCGGTAACATCCACAACATTACCGCATTTGCCCATTCACGAAAGTCATCGTTGGGGAGGTCGGCGAAGGTCCCCCGCGACCCCCTCCCCGGAAAGTCACCCACATGACGGAGGGCTTGCATGCGCAGCGTACCCCGCGCCGAAAGCATGGCCTGCTCCATGGGCAGCAAGCGCGCCAGAGCTGCAGCGTTGTCCGCGGAGGTGGCAGCGAGACCAGATTTCAACACGTTAACGATCGCAGCACAGGTCAAATCGAAGTGGTCCGGGACTGACAGCTCACCAGAATTTCCAACGGGAAAGAAGTCGAGGACGTTCAGTCCGGACATGGTACGAAGCTGCTGCAAAGTCTTGTCGGTGCCGGTAACGGTCCCCCCCATCATCGTTTGCAGGGTCTCTTTGTTGGGAACGTCAATTCCCCGCTTACCACGCAGCGCCCACATCAAACGTCCCGCACGCCAAGCGGAAGCAGTACTCTCGAATTCCGCTTTTGCGAAGCGACGCTGGCGATCAGCGTCCGACCCCGGAGCAGCAGCTGCACCAAGACCCGCACCGACCGCCGCCGCGGCTCCCGCCCCATCAGCAGCGTGCGGGCCGACCACGTGCGAACCGGCGCCCCCACCTTGGTTGTTCAGCAACTGCTGCAGGGATTGCTCCAAAGCCGATACTTTCGCAACGAGATTCTCGTTATCTTGCTGCGACATCACAAGCTGCAACGCACCCGGCGCCCCCGACGCCGCACCGGCACCCAGGTTGTCCCCCCCGGCCACCGCAGACGACCCACCGAGGCCCTCCACGGATAAACCAGCCATGCCGTCGGCCAGCCGTGCCTCATCCCCGCCGACCGCCGAACCCGCCACGGCTGCGGCCCCAGCTGCCGCTTCTTGCTGCTGACGTTGAAGTTGCTGCGTCTGCTGCTGCTGCTGCTGCTGCTGCGGCTGCTGCGGCGGCGGCTGCTGTTGCTGCGGCGGTGGGTTCTGCTGTTCCTGCTGGGCTGCCAATGCCATTGCGGCAGCCGCGCCCGCCACAAAGAAACGTCACGGCAGAAAACAACCCTTGGCCACCGCACGCACACGTTCTCTCGCTCGCCCCCGGTAAACACGGCGAAGCGAGTAGACCGGTCACTTTTTTGCCGCCAAAATCGCCCTGATTGGCACCCCTAACTGTTGATGCTGGCTGGGCTGCGGCGCAACCTGGCGCAACGTCAATGGCGCTCCGTAGAACAGAAAGCGGGTATATGCAGGTACAAATGCGCGTGTGCGTATCCCCTGGCTCATGATCGATCTGAACGTGCATGGTGCCATGTCGGTCAATCGCAACCCCATTTTGCTTGCCTTCTGGGCTTCCTCTGCATTACTGCGATGGGCATGGCATCTCTCCGGCTCGCAATTCTGTGGGCTTGGTGTTTTTCAAGCGCAGCTGGTGAGAGAGAAAGCCACAGCCCTAGCGGTAGTAGAGTAGGTTGCCCCAATTTTCACATGTGTACGGTCGACGCTGTAGGTCTACTTGTACCTGCTGAACACGTTGTGCTTATGCCTGAACACCGCATTCTCCCATCTACTCGTGCCTGCAATGAACGTCGTCTTTCCATGAGTTCTACGAAGCTCTGGTGAGTGCATCTTCGGATCACCACAACGAACGTATTGAGCACAGACGATCTTAGCATGATGTAAGTACCGTATATGACACAAGATAACACACCTGGACCGATTTTCATAGCTCGATTACTCCACGACGAAGAGGATGCATAAACGAAACGATCCATTTTCAAAAAGCTCTCGACGAGACGGTTTCGACGCCGCCATTTTCGGCGCTGTGACTGTTCCTGCAATGGAGAAATCGAGCTTCAAAAATCGGTCTAGGGGGTGTGTTGTCTTGTGTCATAAGATGCCATCCCTTAGCCGTTGTGGCCAACACTTCCGCTGAGGTGTACATGCAAGATGTGTTTCCACCGCACCAATTGGCGGTCGATGTTTTAGCAGTATACCCCCAACAGGGCGGTGGTAGAGAATTCATATCGAGAGCTTTCCCGAAACGAATGGTTCAGTGTTGGCAATCCCGTTTGCTCTCGAGGTCTTCTCTACCGAGCCCGAATGTTACACCATGCGACGTGTGGGCGCTCAAGGTATCCCACCCTCTCCCAAAACCATGTTGGCAAGACACACGTTTTTTTCCGTTAGACACATGTTTCAGTCGCAACGGAAGTTGCCGGTTTTGGGTGCAACACGCGTGACAAAAGAAGAAGACGACCTACAGGCACGCACACAATTTTCCCACACCCACACTCTCCCGTTTGCTTCGTCCCCACAGGCTTTGTCGCCGCCCCGCTCGCGTCCGGCGGTGCCGCGTCTGGCCGAAACACTCTTCCTACCACTGCCGGTACCGCTGCCGCTGCCTCGAAGGCCAGTGCTGATGCTGCTGCTGCGCCTCCGGTGGTATCGGCGTCAGTTGTTTCGGCGAGAGAGGCCGTCGTGGAGCTGCCTCCCCTCGGCGGTGATGGGGTAGGGTATTCCGTGAAGTGGTTCGAAGAGGACAACCCCGAAATCTTCGATCAGGTGTGTGTGTGTGTTTTGCAAGCTCACCCGACCAGCAAAGACACCAGGTTCCGCGGGAAAAAACAATCGAGACAAATCGCGGAGTCCACGCAGATTTTATATTACAAACCAAGCAGGTGGATGGAAGTAATGACATGGTAAGGTGGTACGTTATGTGGGTCTCTACTGAAACTGATACCGTAAGTGGTGTCCATGCTCTGGCAAGGGACCGGCCTCCGCTCCATGGAAACGAGGCCAGTCACGCTCGTCCAGGTCATGCGAGAGAGTATTTCGTCTACTGTAGTACCTCCACCTTCATAGGCAAAGGCCACATGTCGTTGAGACTCGCGGCGGGCTGTCTCAGATCCGTGCGGTTTCGGGATACGTCGTGCACGGCACTTTGTTCCACCGGTATTCCACGCCCCGGTGGCGTGACTCTGCGAAGGACCTTACGCCAAACGATTCCGCAGAAAACGAAGCCGTTGCACCTGGTGCTGCTGATACTGGTGCTGCTGTTATCATTTTGCTGTTTTCATTGACCCATCTCAGTAAGTTTTCCCCGGTTGTTACAAACCAGGCACAAGACTTCAAAAATACTATTTAGCAGAGGGGCACCACCGCCCAGCGGGATGGAGGAGAGATGGTGAGGGGGGGGGCAGTGTTCTCGATAGGAAGAGTAAGCTTGTGAGTGGCCGACGCCTTTCCCTCCCTCGTTTTCGTGGGCTCCCCTGTGCGCCGTGTTTTTACGGCAAAAGCAGGCGACGGCCTCGCTGCAATCCAGGCTAGTTTTGTCGGACCTCTCTCCCGGAACAGAGTACGTGGCGGTGGTGAGAAAAACAGCGACGGCAGCAGCAGCAGCGGCAGCGGGGGAGGCGGGCGACAACGACGCGAGGGAACTCCGCTTCTCCACACCACAGGCGAGTCGGCTTTACGAGCACACGTAGGCGAGGGTGTAGAGTGGCTGGTATCCTGCGTGTTGCGGCGGATAGGCACAAGTGTTCGGGTGGCCACGCCAACAGCGGCGGTAGCCTGAGCTAGGTACGGCTTTATTTTCGGTGAGGTAGTGGGGCATGGTGGTGGTGACAACTGGGGGAAAGGCGTCTGCGGCGCATGGGAGGTTTGCAGGTATCTCCGCCCGCCTAAACCATAACCGAAAAAAACCTGTGGATGACTGTACTCGTGATGTCCCGCATGCCTGCGACCAATGATTGGCACCCAATAGCGGGCTTGGCCCGAGAGATGGTGTTGCTTCGCAGTCTAGTTTTCAGTCACATTCACTGTCAGTCTAGTTTTCAATGTTGCCACTACAATAGCAGCCAGCTCAAGTGTAGATCAGCCGGCTTCGGGTTCTTCAAGACGTCATGATGGATAAACTTTCGATATTCCCTCGCCCTCTTGCGCGCGCTCTCCCTCCCAACCGCGATAGGCCGAGGGAAACGCCTCCGGTGAGATGATGGAACTCTCCCGTCTGGAGATTAGGGTGGGGCGTTGCCTGGAGTGCTCCAAGCACCCTGACGCGGACTCTCTGTACGTCGAGACGATCGACTTCGGCGAGGGAGAGCCAAGGTAGCCGGTCTCTCACCATTTTTCTATCGGGGGAGGGCGAGGGAGGGTCGACAGCAGCAGCGGGGCGTATTAGGCGTGGTGACGAAACTGATGGTATGCGAGGGTTCTACGTAGTAGTTGGGAGAATAGTCCAAGCTCTAGAGAGAGCTTGTCTCTTTTGTCGAGAGGTGGGACCCTGCACAGCAGTAACTGCACCGACCTTTCCTTCGGGTTTCTTCGCACCCTAGGCTTTTTCTGGTGCCGCCCTTGCCGCCAGCCGATCGAGTAGTAGCTCTCCTTACAGCAACCGGCCTGTTACAATTTTTGCAGCGGCCTGCTCAGGGAATTTTTTTCTCATTTCGCCAGCTGACGTCGCTCTCCTTAGCACCCACAATATTGCACATTTTTCAAGTTGGAAGGAGTGGAACGGTGCGGGGTCCCAACTGATGGGAAAGTTGACGAAGTCTTGTTTACGTACCCGGACGGGCAGCAAACGTGTATCCCTCCCCCCCCCCCCCCCCCCCCCCCCCCCCCCCCCCCCCC